AATGCCTAGACCAAGATATGAGCTGCTGCTGAGATACTTACATTTCAACGACAATACGCTCTGTCACCCCAGAGATCACCCCCAATATGATAGGCTTCATAAAATACGCCCACTGGTAGACCATCTTCAGAACAGATTTTCTGAAGTTTATACTCCCCAACAAACTTTATCCATCGATGAATCCCTTTTGAAATACAAAGGGAGATTAGGGTTCAAACAATATATCCCCTCAAAGCGGTCTAGGTATGGCATTAAAGTGTACAAACTTTGCGAGAGCGAAAGTGGCTACACATTTGCCTTTCGTGTATACGAGGGGAAAGATGCTCAACTGAACCCTCCTGGCTGTCCTGACTCTCTGGGGACAACTGGGAAACTTGTTTGGGACCTACTGATCCCTTTGTTCAATAAGGGTTACCACCTTTATGTGGACAATTTTTACAGCAGTGTCCACTTGTTTAAAATTCTTTATAGTTTACAGACACTGGCCTGCGGCACTGTAAGAAGAAATGCCAAGGATTTCCCCAGACCTCTCATAGAGGCCAAATTAAAAAAAGGGGAATGCAAAGCTCTGCGCAAGGCTGAACTGCTTGCGCTAAAATTTAAGGACAGGAAGGATGTTCACATGCTAACAACCATCCATAACGAGGGCATGTCAGACGTCACTGTCCGAGGCAGGGTACAGACAAAACCGGTGTGCATCAGGGCTTATAACAGGCACATGGGGGGTGTTGATTTGGCTGATCAGCTGATGCAGCCTTATCTTATCTTAAGAAAGACAAAAGCCTGGTATAAAAAGGTGGCTATCTACCTGTTGCAAGTAGCAACACATAATTCATTTTTAATTTTTAAAAAATGAATCCAGGAAGAACCACCTATCTCCAATTTCAGCTCAAGCTGATTTCCACAATAATTTATGGAGATGGTCAAGTTCCAACGACAGTGCAAGAGTCGTCTAGACATTTTATTTTTAAGATACCGCCAACACCAAAAAAAAGAAACCCCCAGAAACGTTGCCGGGTCTGTTATAAAAAAGGGAAAAGGACAGACACCCCTTTTCACTGTCCCGATTGCCCTACAAAACCTGGACTGTGTATTGGAGCATGTTTTAAGGTCTACCACACAGAAAATACATTTTTATAATACTTGTTCCTGATTATTTTTTTTGTTTATTTTGAAAGCAGCAAATTTCTGTTAGTCAGTATCCTTCCCCCAAATCTCCAGTTAGATTCTTTTTGCAGGAGTTAGTTTACAGATTGCTGCTAACAGAAGTTTTAGTCTCATTTAGTCTGTTTTTATCAGTTTTAGTCTGTTTTTAGTATAAAATAAAAAAAATTGTGTGTTAGTAACTCTGTGTTAGCCAGACTCTGACGCCACTGACACTGCGTCCGATTTTGACCCAGGTCAGTTTTCTGACATGTCATCTGTGTGTGAGCTGGCTGCAAAAAGAAGCTGTGCTTTCTCTGCTACGCCGAATGTGGAGGAGGAACAGGTTTCTCCACAGTTAGCTGAGCCCCAAATCACCCCTTTTAGTGCCAACACAGGCATTAATGTCAATGTGGATGACTTCTCCCCAATGCAATATATGGAGCTATTTTTAGGGGATACCATGTGGGAGGAGATTGCTCCCCAGATTAATTTATATGCTACCCAATTTATTGATACCAATCCAGATAGCTATGCAGTCAGGGAGGAGTGTGCTTGGCATCCCACAGATGACGCTGAACTTAAAAAAAATTCTGGGCTCTTACAATTCTCATGGGGATTATAAAGAAGCCATCAATTTGCTCTTACTGGAGCACCAACCCAATCTGTTCTAGTCGAGTGTACTCTCAAACCATGTCTAGAACAAGATTTGAGCTGCTGCTGAGATACTTACATTTCAATGACAATACCCTCTGTCACCCAAGAGATCACACCCAATATGATAGGCTTCATAAAATACACCCACTGGGAGACCATCTTCAGCACAAATTTACTGAAGTTTATACTCCTCAAAAAAATGTATCTATTGATGAATCGTTAATGAAATATAAAGGGAGATTAGGATTCAAACAATACATCCTCTCAAAGCGCTTTAGGTATGGCGTAAAATTCTACAAACTGTGCGAGAGCGAAAGTGGCTATACATTTGCCTTTCGTATATATGAGGGGAAAGATGGTCAACTGGACCCTCCTGGCTGTACTGACTCTCTGGGGACAAGCGGGAAACTTGTTTTTGACTTACTGATCCCCTTGTTCAATAAGGGTTACCACCTTTATGTGGACAATTTTTATAGCATTGTCCGTTTGTTTCAAACTCTTTAGGGTTTCTAGATACTGGCCTGTGGCAGTGTGAGAAGATATGCCAAGGATTTCCCCAGACCTTTTATAGAGGCCAAATAAAAAAAAAAAGTGAATGTAAAGGTCTGCACAAAGCTAAAGTGCTTGCAATAAAATTTAAGGACAGGAAGGATGTTCACATGCTAACAACCATCCATAACGAGGGCATGTCAGACGTCACTGTCCGAGGCAGGGTACAGACAAAACCGGTGTGCATCAGGGCTTATAACAGGCACATGGGGGTGTTGATTTGGCTGATCAGCTGATGCAGCCATATCTTATCTTAAGAAAGACAAAAGCCTGGTATAAAAAGGTGGCTATCTACCTGATGCAAGTAGCAACACATAATTAATTTTTACTCTTTAAAAAAAAATGAATCCAGAAAGAACCACCTTTCTCCAATTTTAGTTCAAGCTGATTTCCACAATAATTTATGGAGATGGTCAAGTTCCAACAACGGTGCCAAAGGAGTCCAGACATTTTATTTTTAAGATACCGCCAACTGCAAAAAAAAACAAATCCCCTGAAATGTTGCTGGGTCTGTTATAAAAAAGGAAAAGGACAGACACCCCTTTGCACTGTTTTTTTTTCTTTTGAAAGCAGCAAATTTTAGTTAGTCAGTTTCCTTCCCCCCAAATCTCCAATTAGATTCTTTTTGCAGGAGTTAGTTTAGAGAATGCTGCTAAAGGTGCATTTGATACCTGCACATTTGGTTAAAAAAGTTTTATGGTAGTAACATATAACTGGCTGGCCAAAACCAGATGACGTGTGCATAAAAAGCAGAATTAAAAAATTACCACCATGCACGTTCTCTGAAATTTGTTTAGCACAATGGTTGGGGGAAGGATGTGAAAACACCTCATATACAATACTCTGGAATGTCTACTTTATAAAAATATAAACTTTCATGATGTTAACATTAACGGGGGGATGCAAAAATATGCCAAACTGAAGATAGGCCAAGCATACCTATATATCAAGTTGAAAAACTGATATGTACAAGTCTTGAATGTGGCCTTTTAGCCCCCAAACAACCCAGCAAACCTATGCATGGGTGATGTCACTGTACTCAGGAGATGTTGCTGAACACATATTGGGGTGTTGTTTGGCAGTGATACATAACAGGATCTGTTAATTCATGCCTAAAGTACAATGTATGTGTAAAAAAACATGAAGAAAATTACTACCCAAAAGTTTGCCAAAGGCTGGTGGTAGAATTATTGCATGAAAAGTATTAAACTACCACCATTTAAAATACCCTGAGTTGTCTACTTTTCAAAAATATATGGTTTGATGGGGGTAAAATACATTGGCCCAAATAGGACAGGGGCGCTGGTTTACTACATGTCAAAATTCCAAGTTGAAAAATGGATATGCGCACCTGCCAAATGTGGCCTTTTAGCCCCCAAACAATCCGACAAGCCTATGCATGGGTGGTATCACTGTACTCAGGAGATGTTGCTGAACACATATTGGCATGTTGTTTGGCAGTGACACATAACACGATTTGTTAATTCATGCCTAAAGTACAATGTGTGTGAAAAAAAACACACAAAAAATGACTACCTAAATGTTTGACAAAGTCTGGTGGTAGAATTAGTGCATTGAAAGTGTTAAAAAACCACCATTTGAAATACCCTAGGGTGTCTACTTTCCAAAAATATATGGTTTGGTGGGGGTAAAATACATTGGCCGGCCTTACAAATGTCCCAAATAGGACATGTGCGCAGGTTGACTACATGTCAAAATTCCAAGTTGAAAAATGGATATGCGCACCTGCCAAATGTGGCCTTTTAGCCCCCAAACAATCCGACAAGCCTATGCATGAGTGGTATCACTGTACTCGGGAGATATTGCTGAACATATATTAGTGTGTTTTTTTTGGCAGCAAGACATAACAGGATCTGTAAGTTTATACCTGAATTGCAATGTATGTGAAAAAAAACAAAAAAAAGAACTATCTATGCAAAGTTTGGCAAAGACTTGTGGTAAAATGGCTGCATAGAAAGTGTCAAAATATCCTTAGATGAATACCCTGGGTTGTCTACTTTAAAAAAAAAAATATATACATGTGGAGTGTTTTCCAGAGATTTATGACAGATAATAGTGTTACAATGTCACTATTGATACATTTTAAAAATGTTTGTTTTGAAACCGCCATATCCTACTTGTACCTATAGCCCTATAACTTGCAAAAAAGCATGTAAACACTGGGTATTTTTAAACTCAGGACAAAATTTTGAATCTATTTAGCTGTTTTTTTCATTTGCTTTTGTAGATGAGTAAAAGATTTTTCAAGTAAAAGTCAAAAAACATGTGTTTTTTTTTTTTCAATTTTTCATCATATTTTTTTATTTTTTTAAAATTAAAATACATGAGATTATATAAATAATGGTATGTAAAGAAAGCCCCTTTTTGTCCTGAAAAAAACAATATATAATTTGTATGGGAACAGTAAATGAGAGAGCGGAAAATTACAGCTAAACACAAACACCAGAAAAGTGTAAAAATATTCCTGGTCGCAAATGTACAACATTGCAAAAACAGTCCAGTCCTTAAGGGGTTAACATTTCATGCACATAGTGGGAGTTTGTTTATTTATTTATTTTCTCTAGGTATAAGACGTTATTTATAAAGAGCGACTATGGATAATGTTCCACTATTTGGTGTAAGTGGTGGGTAGACTGAGTCAAAAGACCTGGTATCTTTATATCAAAGTTTCATCTTCAGCAAAATAAATACTTTTACATACTATCCCTTGAGCATAAATGAGTTAACACATCCAAACATGACTCTGTTATTCTAAGGTACTATTTCTATTTTTAATACAGTTGGCCCGTTAAAATACTCCACAACACTGACTAATCGGCAGCGTGGGAACATGGTATCAGTACTGCCAGCAACGTTGGATTGTAAGTACATGGTTTTCAT